TCATTCAGCTATTGAAAGTACTCAGCATCAAAAGAAGGAAAAAAGTTCTCTTAAACCTTACACTCCCTGGTAAAAATTGGCGATAGGAGCTGCGTTTTAAAATACTATAGGAGTTTTTATAGCCGACTGAAGAAAGCGATAGAAAATCATATAGCTGGCTGCAGAAAGTGGACAAAATTATACAGCCGGGCTATAGTTCCAATCGCAGAACTTTACACTTTATCGCCTGGCTGTTGCTTTTTCGTCATCGGCAATAAAAGGCTATAAGAAATTGTGTAGATATTCGTGTGCTTTGTAAATCCTTAAGTTTGTACAGAATCACCTTAATATTTACAAAACACAAATTATATTTTCCTTTACTACGTACTTTATTTCATCAATTAAAATGAGAATAATCCATACAGAGTGCGCAAACATTTCAAAGTCATAAGTTGAAAAACGCTGCTCCGCGAGAATAAATATTAGAGCCTAACACAAAGCGGAGCGGCGGCGCACTGACGCCTACAAACCTAACAGGGATACTTCACGCATTGCACAATGCGTGAAGTATCCCTGTTAGGTTTGTAGGCGCCAATGCGCGTATCGCGCTGGCTGCCCGCCCGCCGCGCCGCGCCGCGCCGCAGCGTACCACGGCGCTTGAAGCAACTATTTCACACCAGAGGTATTGCACAGTATCATACGAAATTGAAGGCGCTCCAACATATTAGGAATGGCAGGCATCCCTTAAAAGTACGGAGCTTTCCTCGCAAAATAAATCAAGATACTGCGGCCCAAAAAGAGAGCGGTAGTCCAAAAACTCACCGAGTCCTAGCATCCGTAATTAGTAACGTTTAGCATACACTTTATCGCCAGAATGTTGCTTAATCGCCATCGGCTATAAAAGGCTATAAGAAATTGTGTTACCGGCTTTAGAAGCTATTGGAAATCTTACAGCCGGCTGTGGGTCTATGGTATTTTGGAACACAGATTCTACTGCCAATTTTTACCAGGGCTGATCATTTTCCAATATATAAACGCTTTGATAAATGTCGAATCATCACTCCACAAAAGTCTGGTTTTCCCTCGAGTTGAGTATTCGAATTCTTCGCTAAAAGCAATGCTTTACGCATGATATGTACCTAAATAGATGAGGAATCTCCTGTGATGACGTCACAAATGCGTGCGTGACGCAATTCGTGAAGTCTTATCGTGCGTTAAGTGCGTCTCATGTCACGATAGATTCACTTCGCGGAAAATTTTTCAATTATATTTGGTAAAGGCCAGGGGTGAAGATTCCACTCTAATTAAGTTTCAATCAATTTTTTACTCATTTTCCTAGAATTTTCCACAGGTTTTGTAAGATCAGCGAATGCCGAGTTTTAGCACTTTACGAGCACGGTATGTGAACTTTAAATATCTTCAGCATTTTGACTCCATTGGAACTAAATGGATTCCACCGAAGGGTTTTTTTTAGGGATAAACCCCCCTCTTAAAAAAGAGGTCGAAGAATTTATGGAAAGTAAAATTGAAAGTCGCCACTCGTCAAAGTTGCAAATTTTTTCCACTTCTGCGTATTGCACTTCGATCAATTAATGACGCGCACAGGAGCCGAAGTGTCATTTACCTGCATGATCGCGAATTTTTTTACGTTTTTTTTTTTTCAAATGTGTCTCACTTAACATAGAGCCGTAAGCATGAAGATACTCATTAGGTTTTTATAGTCAACGCTGTTCCCCGTCATGTCACCCCAGCGCCAATGCATTTTGACAAGGATCTTGATTTGCACCTCTTCAACATTCGTTCACATCGTCAAAAGAATTTTTCCATGTCGCCTTTGCCCTTACGAACACGGCAAGAAAGAGCCGCCGACGTTTTGAGTCAGTATGGGAAGTAGAAAAAAATATAACCTAACCGTGAAATTTATATTTTTTGGTTAGTTTTTCATTGGGTTACATTGACCACACCATTGGGTTAAAAATTTGCGGTCTCGTCAAAAATCAGAAACGAGTTGAACTTTGTGAAATAATGCCGATCTACAAATTCACACGAACATCTTGAAAAAGTATCAATATGAATGAGTGTAAAACTTTTTTTTCCTGTGTAGTTTTATTCCTTCAAGAAAGAACACGCCCAAACTCGATGTTGCCAAGAGATGAATAAACAATAATCAAACCTATATAGATTGTCCTGTTCAAGGCGGATTTCTCTATAAATTATTCATCATTATACTTCAACTATGTACTCATTGATTGAAAATTTAAGGATTCAGATAATTATGGATATCGCACTGTACTCGTATATAAAAATCACTACCCGGCCATTAGGTTAGATTGACGACAAAATTTAAGAAATCAATTTTTGGTGATTGAAAGAGGTAGACAGATGGAATTTATTCTTCCAATTTCATTCGCCAGAAATCACGCACTCTCCACTCTACTCTAAACCACAATTGGACGTATTTATGCCAAGAGGAACTATCCTCCACGCAAACCCTATGCACATAGTTCCTTTTGGCATAAATACGTCCAATTACAAAACCCATAGAATGGTTGAATTAAACTTACTTGTTTGCATCACAGCAACAATTATGGACATATCACAGAGTGTGAAGCGTTTGAGAATTCGTATTTACCATCTACCTTCAAATACAGTCGGCCACGGGCAATTTAAAAGTAGATGGCGAGACTGCTAAAAAAAATTATATCTAATCTGATCTTCCAAAATTTATTTGCCAAATTTTATCTCGGACAATTGCAAAATAATGATTTTTAAATCCAACAATTTATGTCATCTAATTTTCCTTCTACCTGAGCACCGCACGATTTTAAGAGGATTCCACGGGGACACACTGCCCGGGATCATGTCCACACTTTGAAAGTTGGCATCAGCCGATCGAATTGTTGGCTACTTTTGCTGGTTTGGAATCAGCAAAAAAAAATCGAGTAAGTGGGAAGCATAGAGTGCATAGAGTCGTAATGTGAATAAGAATGACCATGTCCTGGATGACGAGTACCGAGCCCGGTATGTGCCGAGCCCGGTATGTGCCGAGCCCGGTATGTGCCGAGCCCGGTATGTGCCGAGCTTTGGTCACTTTTTCGATACATCTTCGATCCACAATGGCGATGTAGAATACGTGGTGATTCTTATCCTCTTTGTTTACATTGGATGGCCGGGTCCCCGCACATCGCAAACAATTGTATGTATCGAAAAAGTGACCCGTCGTGAAACAGGAGTCTCGGAATTCGAGACCTGGAAAATGCTTAAAAGTGGTCCCAGCTCTCCCATTCACATTTCGACTCTATGTACTCTATGTTTGGAAGTGATGATCAATTTGCACACGATCGCGGATTCATTCACATTTCAATTCATCCGCATATACGTCTGAGAAAAGGTTGATGACCCAACTTCACAAAAAAAAAAAAAAAAAAAAAAAAAAAAAAAAAAAAAAAAAAAGATGAATATCTTTCTAATGAATATTCCTGTAAGGTTTTGATGAAATGATTAAAAATGCAACATTTTGTCTAATGACGTCATCGTGCGATTTTCCTTACTAAGGCAGCCAGAGGCGGAACGAATATATCACTCAGGGATTTGAATTACAGGTAAAAGTTTGGCTGCTATGTTGTGCCGAAAAATTGTAACTTCCTCATAACGTAGACTTCTTCAGGCTGCGCGAGACTGAACAGAAGAAAAAAAGTTTTGGCTGTTGACGTCAGCGCACAAGAGTCAAAAAGCAGAAAGCAGTAAGTATAGTTAGTTAGTTAGTTAATATATTTTAAGACATTCAGCGTCAGGTATAAATACAGCACCCAGAGGTACAAGATATATGAACTTATCTATTGCCTGAGCGAAAATGGCAGTCATTTTTTATTGTAATTCATGAGGTGGGTAAATTTGAATAAATTAGGAGATAACCTTTAGGGACCCTGGTTAAATTTTGAGGAAAGTTTTATTGCCGATACGTCTCCTCAAAGCTGATGATGAATAATTAGGAGAAAGAGACACGGGCTAATATGGCAACATGACCTAAAACTTGGACAGTGGTCACACCCAAGATTATACGGACGGTGCTACATTTGATGTACCCTGCACGGGCCCTGGGGTGTAAATCAACAGCTATTAAGAAATCAGCAGTGTTGTTGGGTTACACGGACATTTTCGTATGAGGACAGGATTTTCACGAAAGAATCCGAAGAAAGTGCGAGTTGTTTGGAGCCGCCTCCAGCCTAATTTAGTCGGGAGACTATCATTCTTTTTTACGCTCGTAAAAATAATGTAAACTGAATAAATTGACTCTTTCTTTTATGGAATAGTAGTCTCTATTGAGTTAAATAGCTGTCCAATGGGCATTAAACACGACTGAATAAATTACACGAAATAATTATTCATTTATTTTTTGCTGTTGGGAAACTACCGCGCGGGAAAAGAAACTTCATCAGTTAAGAACATCGCATGCCGTGACCGAAATAAGTCTTCAGGTTTCCTTTTCTGTCTCCCTCGTAATCCCTCTGTGTAACCTATTTTTCTCTTCGCTATAAAATGAAATCGTCAATGGAGGGCACACTTGCTCTCAGTTACTTTTTCTGTCTAATCTAAAAGATCTCATATCCAAATTGGACCGCGTTAAGCAGAAAAGAACAAAACCACGTCAACTATACTGCCAAAATTTAATTGGCCAATTTAATTTTTCGCATGAAAACGTTTGTGCGGATTTGTGTGCAAATTGCAGTGAATTTTCTGCTAGTACGAAGCAAATTCCCTTATAGTTTGAAAGAAATTCGCACTAACCTTCTTTTGCGTAAAAAATCAAATTGCCAGGTTAAATTTGGCAATAGCTGATAGGGCTTCGTTCCTTTCTGCTAAACGCGATCCAATTGACAGTTAAAATTGAGTTTCAGACTTGACCGTTGCTATCATAATGATTTCTATGCTACTCTATAGAAGATATATCTCCCATTATAGTTTCTATGAGAGTTTAGAACAGCCAAATTGAGGACATGTGAGATGGTGCATAAGCTTACCTGTCATTCGTGCTATCTCTGGTAAAATTTGAAAGGTAACCGAAGTCCTCAGGAGCAAACGCAAATTTCTTTACTTTCTCTGGATCTTTGAAAGTTTTCCAGCTGTCCAAATCCATGTTCTTGCTGGCGAGTGATGTCTGAATAAACCAACCAAGGCTGCAAAAAAATTAAAAAAACAATACAGCTGTAAAAAATGTCATACAGCGAGAAGAGAGAGGATGTAAGGCACCTGTAATCGGTCAATCAGCTATCCGACGGGTTACATTTTACAATAAGGAGCTACGATTTCTAGTTCATTTTAGAAACAACATGAGTGGCATTAATTTCCCTATTCAGAAAGATGCTCCCATGTATCAGTCCGAAATGACGGCTCTTTTAACTGTAAAATGTAGCCCGTATCACAATCACAATCACGATGCAACTATTCGTGCTTGATGGATGGCCATGTTGCATACCAAAAAATTGAAGGCGTTTCAGTTTTTATCACTCCCTTAGAAATAAACCTCTGGGTGTGCTGGCGTTCCAAGTCACTCAAACAGAACTCAAACGCTTTTTACTCGGAAAAATCTTTCGTCACTTCCGCCTGCTTTCTTGTAACTTAGAGCTTGCTAACCTGATATTTGAACTGGCATGATAAAAGATATCGATAATGAAACTGCCAAAACACTGATCTCAATTGTTGAAGTTCAAAAATGCTGCAATCTATTTTTAAGAATACTGCTGAGCTCTTTTATGCGAAGTTTCCATGATATATACTGAAGTAACGGAGAATAATAAAAAACGATGAGCTGGCCTTCTTTAATGTAATAAAATGTAAAATTTGCAGCGTCAAAAACCAAAACCCGTAGCTCGATACTTTCACCGTTGATATGAGATCAAATGTGCACACAAATTACTTTACAAAGGTACAACTTCTTTTCATTTTAAAAACCAAACGCATTATAACATGAAGTCTATATAGACAAACAGCGGTAATCAGATCGCATAATTGCAAAATTTCCGTTTTCTCAATGTTTTTTTGTTGATGTAAGTAATACTACACCAGTTTTGTATAAAATTTTCTGGAAATTTTCTCGAAAATGCGGAAAAACAACACAATTTCAAGCAAAAACGATAAGTAGATAAAAAGAAGAACGAGAATCCTCGGTCTTGCAAATGGAGGTATGTGGTTCTATTGTGTCACATTCGATATCTTCATAGCCCTAGCGACTGCTATAGCCTGCCCTGGTGCCCTCTGTGCTCCTGTACATGCATAGTGCGGAAATGAACAGTTGAGGCCTGCCACCTGTGCCTGTGCAGTCCTTTCACCTCAGTGTAATAACTGTTGTGGCTGTTTCTTCAAAAATATTCATGCACATCAGCAAGTCAATGACCTCCGCATATCACGTCAACCAGTGACTTTTTCGGCACAATAGCTATACCAAGCGACAAAGAAACCGCGCCGTTTCTTATTTAGGAGGAACACGTTTAATATTTATATACTCTACTTTTAGAACTTCCTGCGTTTCAATTTTCCTCTGAAATATATTTTCTGATCAAATAAGCTGTCGGCTAAGAACGCCAGCCCTGCGTTTTTCGTCATTACAGAGACAGAAATTTAAAAAGATGTGGGAAGATTTTTGGGGGGAAAAATTATCTGCTCCTTGGATTTTATTTTACGCAGTTTCTTTTTTATGGGTTCAAAAAATCAAATAAGAATACTCACCGTCCAGGTGGAGCTACATTTCCAAGATCCGAAACTGAGGTGTACAGGGGAGTTCTGAAATATGTGGGGATCCATGTCTCCAGATTCACCATTGTGTCTGGCATTCTGTAACTAAGCACCCAAAAACATATTATTGAAAGATTGTTTGTATCGAGGTGAACAAAAATTTCAAATTCGATGGTTTTTTTCAGTATTTTTTAGTATAAAAGAATGAGATGTAAGATAAACCGCGATTTTTCGCGAAATTCTTACTATGTGGAAAATTCACTGAAATTTGCACGATAATCTGCAGAACCGTTTACGTGTAAAAAATTTAACTGTCCGATTAAATTTGGCAATAGCTGATGAGGCTTGGTTCCTTCCTGCTCAACGTGGTCCAACTATTAACGCGTTATTCTTCTATTAAAAAATAAAATCCGACCAAAAAATTTGCATCGCTGCATTTTGAGCAGCGTGCTTACCAAGTTAAGCCGTCAATTGCTCTAAGGCCTCCGTAAAAAATAACCCATAAACGAAAGGAGAGTGAACTTACTCCGGGTGTTGAAGATCATTGAGGTAGACGCCAGAGAGTCTCTCAACAATAGCGGTCGTGTCATCGAGGTAATCAGGTTCATAAACGATTTCCGCCGACGGCTCGTAGCCCAGCACATCGTCGAGGAATATTTTAAACACATGACTCGCTAGCTGGTGTGTGACTCGATCCGATGTCTCAATCCTGATCCTCTGGACGTGATCTCCGTAGTTCAGATACCGCTTCGGCTCAACATCTAGAACATGAAATATGAACATTTTTCTCGTGATTTTGATTCATTTTGCAATGAGCCACCGGGTAGGATATGAGTCGAGCACCTCATGGCGTATTTCTTCACGTTAGGAATGTTAATTAGGTATATGTCTAAAATCAACTCTTCAGTGAATTAGGTACGAACGTTCATTTTCAGGAATCAGTGAGAACTCCCCGGTCGCAATCAAACTAAAACCAGTATAAGTCAAATCGGATAGCAAGATTAACAACGTTTTGCGAGACAGAAACTACATACTATATTGTTAGATTTGAAATTCACATCCTTTGATATATTGTGTTTGTAAACCCATGAGAAGAAGTCAATACGGAAAAAAGAATAATTGCACTGTGTACTTAGTAAAATTCGTTGAGCACATAGTCAATTTGATTCGAGGCAATTTTAGCCCTAGGGCGAGTTTGAGTTACGAAAAAAAATGTGCAAAGTTCCCATCTACCAGTGAATTTAGGAATTTTGAAGAGTATGCATCCTATTTCACGCAAAATTTCAATGATAACACATTATCACATGTTAAGTACGTTACTCAATTTTTTTTTTTTTTTTTTTGGCGCGTATACGTAGTATACCGCCTTTGCGATCGTTTCGACCCCCCCCTCGATACAATAACCGAGTCCCCTAGTTCCTTACCGAAAAGTGACTACCGCGAACTTCTGAGATTTTCCAAAGCGTGTAAAAAGTTTACTAATCCGTCAATAATAATGATTAAAATTTGTTTCTCATTCTGGGGCTCGCTAGTTTATGTGTAATGAATACCAAGAGTCTACGTTTCTTGGTTTTTTTTAAAAAAACCTTAGAATGGGGCGCGCTGATTTAAAATATGCATATATAAGCGGAAGCAAGCGAACTGATTCGAGGATGGCTGACCAGTTCGGCACTCCTTGAATGAGAATTTCACTCACTCCGTTTTGTTCACAACGTTGCTTTGACATATCTCCACAACACTGTTATCCTTTTCAAAAGTTGGTACTCCTTGCTCTGATAGCCGGGGCCACCAGGATAGTGGTAAGTGCAATCTGTGATGAGCCTCGAGACTCATTAGACCATTTGCTAAACGTGGCTCATACAGGAGTCCACTAAGCCCTCTCGTCCCCACGCTCCTGATCACTGCGTCGGCGTCACGAAGAACAATGGGCCTTGGGTCCCAACGCGGCCGATACCCGTACCCCAATTACTCACGCTTCATTAACCATTTCACCGTCACGCTAGGATTCATCCAATTTTCAAAAAAAAT